TTGTGGCTGAAGATGGAAAAGACTGGACTGTTGGCTGCCGTATCTGCTTTTCTTACAGGGAAGTCCCTCAGCCTCAACCGGCTATTCGCCCTTTGAACTCCTGTATGGAAGGCGAGTGAGAGGACCTCTTGATGTGCTAAGAGACACCTGGGAGCCATCCAGTGGTTTGAAGCCAGTACCTGTCCTCCAGTACGTCCTTAAAATGAGGGAAAAGATGGAGCAGATGGCAACCAGGGTTCAGGCTAATATGGAGCAAGCCCAGAAGAGACAAAAAGAGATGTTTGACAAAAAGACAAAGGTCAGAGTTTTCCAGCCGGGGCAAGAGGTCCTGCTGCTTCTACCAACCACAGACAACAAGCTGCTAGCCAAGTGGCAGGGGGCCTTTTAAAGTTCTGAGGAAGATGGGTCCTGCGACTTATGAACTTGACATGCCCCAACGTCGGCGAAGAAGCAGACTTATCATCAATCTCCTTAAAGATGGGTACCAAAGCCCAGTCAGTCTAGCCAGCAGCTTCTGGTCAGAGCTGTAAAGACGGAGGAGGACCAAACTGATCAGTTTTTGCCAAATCAAGATGAGACTCAAATTCAGTTGGACCTTGCTCATCTCACCCCACAAATGCAGAGTGAGCTGCTAGCCATTGTTCCTCCAGAGTTGCTTAAAGACAAACCAGGTTACACCAACATAGTGGAACATAACATTATCCTGGAAGATCCTTCTCCTGTCCGCGAGAAAATGTACCGGATTCCAGAGAGGTTGCTGCCAGCCCTGAAGAAGGAGCTGGAGTGTTAATGATGACACTGGTGTAATTGAAAAATCTCACAGTGAGTGGAGCAGTCCTGTAGTGCAGTACTTTAAAAGAGATGCACTATTAGATTTTGCATTGACTTTCGTAAACTTAATGCTCAGTCAAAGTTTGATGCCTATCCCACCCCAAGGCTGGATGACCTTATTGAGCGTGTTGGACAGGCCCAGTACATCAGCACACTCGATCTATGCAAGGGGTATTGGCAGGTGCCGCTGGCTCCAAAGGCCCGGCAGTACACTGCTTTTCCAGTTTACGGTAATGCCCTTTGGTCTGCATGGGGCCCCAGCCACGTTTCAGCGACTCATGGACAGAGTCTTGGAGGGGACAGAATCCTTCTCAGCTGCTTACCTAGATGACATTGTCATTCAGTCTGACATGGGCAATGCGGCATCTGGGAGAAATTCTACAGAGGCTCAAGCAGGCCGGTCTGACAGTTCAGCCCAAAAAGTGTTCCCTAGCCCAACCAGAAGCAAAGTACCTGGGCTATTTGCTGGGCCGTGGTGTGATACGGCCTCAACAGGACAAGGTGCAGGCAGTGAAGGATTGTCCACGTCCCGGTACCAAGAAGGAGCTGAGGTCTTTTCTTGGCCTGGCTGGGTGGTATCGACGCTTTGTTCCCCAATTTGCCACACGAGCAGCTCCTTTAACTGACCTTACCAGGAAGTCCAGCCCTAATCAACTGCCATGGGAAGGAAAGCATGAACTGGCTTTCCTTGACCTGAAGGGGGCACTCTGTGATGATCCAGTATTGCAGAGCCCAGACTTCAGCCAACCCTTCGTCGTGCAAACTGATGCCTCAGGGGTGGGTCTGGGGGCTGTCCTGCTTCAGGGTGAAGGGACTGCCCAGAAGCCGGTTGCTTTATGCCAGCCGGAAATTGTGGCCAAGAGAGACAAGGTACTCGGCTATTGAGCTGGAGTGTCTGGCCATCAAGTGGGCGTTAGAGACCTTTAAATACTATCTGCTAGGCAGAGACTTTATTCTGGAGACAGATCACAGAGGCCTGCAGTGGCTTCATAAAATGAAAGACTCAAACAACCGCATTTCAAGATGGGCTCTTGAGATGCAGCCTTACAGATTCAGGGTCCATTATCGACCTGGAAGGGACAATGTTGTGGCCGACTTCCTGTCTCGCCATCCTGATGGCGAGCTTTCAGGGGAGGGGAAATGTGAAAAGGTTGTCCCATACCTTTCACCTGCCCCACCTTCCCTACACTGGCCTGCAGAGTGATTAGGCTGAGTGAAATCACCTGAGCTTAATCAGACAAAGTGAGGCCAGTTGGGGTTTTCTTGTATAAAGCCAGAGTCTGGGGGGGGGGAAAGGTGGTTGTTTGGTTAGTGGCAGCTTGCTGTGAGGCTGTGGTTTCGTTGGTTTACGTAATCTTGTTTTATTAGGTTACCCGGACTTTTGTTTGGTGCTATTTTTGGTTAATAAATCAATCACTTCATTTTGCATTGACTTCTGCCTCCTGACATCTTTTTGCTCACCACCAGTGCCGAACAGCCACACTTAAATCCCAATTTTGAGGTGGACTTACAATCAGTAATGTTACAACCACCATGAATAGAGTTTGTAACAGTAGTGCATGTAACCTCTTTTTCTAAAATAAAGCCAGTGCAGAAGGGCCTTCTTGGAGGGGGTAAGAACAGAATAACTTATGGTGCCACCATCTGCCCAAATGGTACTACAATTTAAAACTACACTTCCTGAGGTCCACAGCAAAAGGCTTGCTAAGGATGCAGTGGATCGAGTCAAATGTTATTGAGTTACATATGACAGACAGGAAGACAGCAGATCCCACCCTTTACAGTTAGCTGTTAGCTCAGCGTAGTGGATGAATGGACTGCAGAAGATTTCAGACTTAAGGCATCCATTGTAACTCAAAACCACACAGAAACAGAAAGTCTGATGCCGCCCCCTGCTGGTCAACTGTTATGCACTGGTCAAAAGACACTGACACCTGCATCAAGATATCCAAACCCAAAAAAATGTTTGAGACGGGCTGGAGGGTGAAGTGATAGATTAAAACATCAGAAGCATGATACTGAGAATGTCAGTAAAAATACAATGAAGTAAACACGTGACATGTGGCTCCTTTCCTGCATGTCATTCCCGCTCTCTCTCTCTCTCTCTGATTTCCAACTCTATCCACTGTCCTCTCTCTCCATCAAAGGCACAGAAAAGCCTTCTTTAAAAAAGAAAAAAAAGAAGCATAAGTAAGTATAAGAAAATAATTGAAGTTAAATGCTGAATTTCATGAACCAGCTAAATGAAACTTATTTGTGTAGCAGTTAATAAACTGCACTATGAGTCAGAGCTTATTGATTTGAGAGGAAAAGAAAGAGCGATAGAGAGAAAGAGGGAGAGAAAGATAGAGATCCAGCTCCAAAAGAGGAGAGTGGGGAGCTCAGACACTCCTGTTAGAACCTATCTGCCAGTGTGGGACTTCCTGGGCCCCCCTTTACGGATAAGACGGGACCAGGAGGTCCCCCCTTTCTCGTAAAGAGGAGACCACCTGGGTCCCCTCTTACGCCTTCTACTGACAGGACAGTGCCAGTATAGAGGTGACTCTACCTGACACTGAACTGGATCTAACCAGGTGTTTGAGCTCCACTTCTCCTCTTTGGGAGTGGTACTCTGACTGCTCACACGCGGTCCTATCTATAACCTCGGTTTGAGAGTTGTATGACGTACTCAATGACGTCATTAAAGGACAGCGCGGATCGAACGTGCCGCTGTATTTTGGTGTATTTGAATCCATGGTTACTAAGCTAGATAGGATAATTTTAGTGATTTTGAGGAAGACCAAAGTATGATTTGGCCATTTATGTAGGCTAGAATACTGCTTGGGAAAGTTTTATTCACAAGAGTAAATATCTGAAGAGCCTACTTTCAAACGTTTTCCATAAGGAGCTATGTGACTATTTCCAAAGACTTGGTAAAGACTTTTCAGAGATTAGACTGAAGGCTTGTTAAACGAGATTCACTTACTGTTCTTATAAAAAGTAGCCTATAGAATTACCTATAAAGTGCTCTGGCAATGGATGAAAAAGGTGAATAGACTAAATAGTAGGCTAATATGTATTTGATTTGTAATATTATTTTGTATTTTTATGTTTTTTAAATAATTTGTTTATGTTTTAAGATGAGGTTTTGAGATAAGCCCACATTGGTTTCTTCCTCACCTGGACATGTGACTTTTTTGTTGGTCTGAATTTTCTTTCAGCAATGTGCAAATTAACTAATAATTATGGAAGCCCAAACCGGACCTCCATACATCTCATTTAAGTCTTTAATATCATGATAACAAGTAAATTGTGGTTTTTTTTCTCGAGATCACAACGCATGTGCTGCTATAGACTGCTGAGGACCTGGGACATTCTCTCTGGGTTCTAGTCTGACCTGGTCTCCTTTACACTCTTTTCCCCACTCTCTCGCTCACCCTAGGTCCTACTCTAACCCACTGTCCTGTTCAAATAAAGGCATAACCACCATGAATAGAGTTTGTAACAGTAGTGCATGTAACCTCTTTTTCTAAAATAAAGCCAGTGCAGAAGGGCTTCTTGGAGGGGTAAGAACAGAATAACTTATGGTGCCACCATCTGCCCAAATGGTACTACATTTAAACTACACTTCCTGAGGTCCACAGCAAAAGGCTTGCTAAGGATGCAGTGGATCGAGTCAAATGTTATTGAGTTACATATGACAGACAGGAAGACAGATAGACAGATCCCACCCTTTACAGTTAGCTGTTAGCTCAGCGTAGTGGATGAATGGACTGCAGAAGATTTCAGACTTAAGGCATCCATTGTAACTCAAAACCACACAGAAACAGAAAGTCTGATGCGCGCCTGCTGGTCAACTGTTATACTGCACTGGTCAAAGACACTGACACCTGCATCAAGCTATCCAAACCCAAAATAATGTTTGAGACGGGCTGGAGGGTGAAGTGATAGATTAGCAGTTGAGGGGGAATATAAAATTAAACAAAAAAAAAACAAACATCAGAAGCATGATACTGAGAATGTCAGTAAAATACAATGAAGTAAACTCGTGACATGTGGCTCCTTTCCTGCATGTCATTCCCCGCTCTCTCTCTCTCTCTCTCTCTGATTTCCAACTCTATCCACTGTCCTCTCTCTCCATCAAAGGCACAAAAAGCCTTCTTTAAAAAAGAAAAAAAAAGAAGCATAAGTAAGTATAAGAGAAAATAATTGAAGTTAAATGCTGAATTTCATGAACCAGCTAAATGGAACTTATTTTGTGTAGGCAAAACTGCACTATGAGTCAGAGCTTATTGATTTGAGAGGAAAAAGAAGAGCGATAGAGAGAAAGAGGGAGAGAAAGATAGAGATCCAGCTCCAAAAGAGGAGAGTGGGGAGCTCAAACACTCTTATTGAAGCCTGTCCTGACAGTGGGGACTTTGGGGGTCCTACGTCTTACTGGCAGGACGGTGCAGTAAGATCATCCCAGCACCTGGCTCTTGGCGAGCCTTGGTCTATACAGACATGCTGGTGACTCTACTGACACTTAGGGCCTCAACCTGGATCTAGCCAGGTGATAGAGCTCCATCTCCTCTTTGGAAGTGGTACTCTGACTGCTCACACGGGTCCTATCTATAACCTCGGTTTGAGAGTTGTATGACGTACTCAATGACGTCATTAAAGGAACAGCGCGGATCGAACGTGCCGCTGTATTTTGGTGTATTTGAATCCATGGTTACTAAGCTAGATAGGATCATTATAAATAAAATAACAAATAGGTTCTCTATGTTGAATTGTAAATAGGCTACAATAAGCCATGACACTCCTGATAACACTCCGTTTTGTATGAATGGAGATACAAGTTACAGATCGTCTTATTCATCAAGATGCACACACCAATCCAAAACTACAACTTAAACCGGCTGCACTCTGCGCACGCGCAAAGCGAGAAGAAGGTTTGATAACATTTATTTGTGTACTATTGTGTAACTTAATTAAAGTCATAAAAACACTCATTTGCTTCTTTCACATCAATATCTAATTCTGTTTGAAATATATGTTGCTATGGTAACAGTGATTGTTACTAATGAAAAGGACAGTAAAACACTCAAGCACCTGCTGTCTATTCATGGGTACCAAAAAGTAGAATCTGTGGACCTGTCTGCACCTCTTTTACTGTGTGTTTGCTCTTCTGTCTTAGAAACAACAGAGTTCTCCTCATGTGTGTCACTGTGCTCAATGTCTGCACCAGTTGTTTGATGCACACTGAGGCTTTTTCAGGATAGAAGAAAGACAAGACTGCAGAAATAATAAATTTGGTGAAAACTGAATTTACTCAAGATGATTATTTTCTTTATTTGGACCTTTTTTTTGTTCAAGGTCAAAATATATAAAATCCCAATACTTATAGCAGTAATAGACTACTCAAGAAAAAATACTGAGCATTAGTCTACCTCAAATGCAAAAATCTTTAATTATTTGATAATATAATATATGGAAAGAGGAGCTAAAGTGATAAGAGAGTTAATGTTACACAGTGAGTGATATTGGGTATAATTGAAGCTAATCATTTGTCTGAGGGTTCTCTTTTAAAGGAATTAATTAAACACCCCTAAATAAGTTACATCTGAGCCTTTTGGATCAAATGTATGTCAGGGTTGGTGCTGAAAGTACTAACACGACTGAATGAAATGAACCAGCTATACAAGTAAATACTCCTTCAAAGCTGATTTTAGAAAAAGTGGCGCGCCCCATGGAGGCTAAGGTCCTCCAAGTGGGCGGCCCAGGATGAAATCCAACCTGTGGCTCCTTTCCCACATGTCATTCCCTAATCTCTCTCTCCTGATTTCCAACTCTATCCACTGTCCTATCTCTCCATCAAAGGCAGAAAAAGCCCCAAATAAATATATATA